CTTGTGTTCAAATCCAGCTGTAGGTCACTACTATCACCCTGTTGTGGTCTTGTTTCTGCTAGGAATTTCAACAAAAATGTAAAGGAGTTGCCTCGTACGCTTAATTAATCAACGACCGGCAGGACTCTCATACATAAATAACGTTTGCCTGATCTCCTCCGAACAGAGAGGGATTGTAGTTTTTATCCCGTACGTCCCGAGCAGATCTTGACTCTCGCCTGTTTTGTTTCAGGTGTTGGACACAGACAAGGATGGCAAAATTAGCAGCCGGGGTTGAATACCTCCTTGGCGAGGACACAAACAGTCCATACAAGACCTTCTTCGGACATGTCATCTTCAAACCTGTTCAAGGGCAGTAACTTGGTCACAAGCTAGGGTCCGATTTTCTAACCTGGTTTATGTTTAGCTCCCACTTCTTCTTCGTTTTCATTATTGTCCTTTGTCTGCCGAGTACAATTCTATTATCTTTCTCCAAATGTAAAAGCCAATCATTCCCTTAAAATCTTTGACAGTCTCCTCGGACATGGAGCCGAAAAGGCCTGTTCGGAGTGCCCCATCTCTAGGCTTCTTTAAGCACATTTGTGTGTGCGTTGTGTATATGCATGTGGCAAGCAGCCTTCCCTTCTTGCTTTCTGCTCGCGCCTAAAAACAGCAGTTTTTCCCAAATTTACGTATGACGTAAGGACGCAGAGCGTTGATGGTTGTGTCTAATGGAATTTGCAATCTCCTTCTCGTTGCTAAGCCTATAAGAGCTGTAATCTGGCTGCCTGCTTCACCAACGTGGACTGATATTCCCAGAAAAGAAGAGCTTATCCCCTGCTTTACGTCATTATCGAAAAAGGGTCCTCCGATAGGTGAAGGCTGTCGGAATCAAAAGGTCATCTTATTTCATGATTTTCAAGAGGCCGATAAAGGCACAACGTGGCAGACCTCAAGGTAGACCTGTCATCCTTTTGGCTTAATGGAGGAAATGGAAATTGTCATGCTGCAGGGCGGAGTACCGGCGTTACGCCTGCTCCATGGTTTTTGGTCAAAGCTCCTTTTAGGTGACAGCTTAGCCATAACCAATCAACAGTCGTGGGTTGGATGTTGCTGTGATGCTTGCTCGACCATCGGACGCATCGACCCCGCACAGGAGGAACGCACAGGTGAACACTTTTCCCAACACCAGGGTCGATGCGTCAGATGGTAGAGCAATCATCACAGCAACGTCCAAAACACGTGATGAAAATTAACGACGCGAATTTCGGTCATCAAGCAGTCATGGAACCAAGTGCGACCATCCCGGATGAAGGGGGAGCCGTGAACATTCATAAGTGTGCGGTATCTTGGCCACTGCATCCTATAAATACTGCAGCC